CAAAGCTAGCAAAAGGAAGAAAATAATAAAGAATAGAATGGAGATAGGTTAAATAAAGAAGAGAAAAACAATAGAAAGCATCAATGAAACAAAAAATCAGTTCTTGGAAAAGATCAATAAAATAAAAAACCCTTTACCTACTGACAAAAAAAATAGAGAAGAGGTGCAAATAACTAAAATCAGAAATCAGAGACATGACTGCTTCCTTAACAGAAATAAAATTATAAGAATACCATACACAATTATACACCAACAAATCAGATCGTGGAGACTGACAAATTCCTAGAAATATACATAATACCTAAACTGGCTTAAGAAAATCTCAACAGACTTATAATAAGAAAAATAATTGGGTCACTAATCCAAAACCTCCCAACAAAGAAAATTCCAGGATCAGATGGCTTTACGGGGGAATTCCACCAAACATTTAAAGAATTAACACCAATCTTTCACAAACTCTTTCAAAAAATAAAAGAGGGGAACACTTTCTAACTCATTCGATGAGACCAGCATTACCCTAATACCAAAGACATAACGAGAACATTTCAGATCAATATCCTTCATGGATACAAATACAAGAATGCTTAACAAAATACTAGCAAATGGAATCCAACAGCATATTAAAATGAAGTGGGATTTATAACAGGAATGCAAGAATAGTTCAACATAAGAAAATCAATTCATTTACACATTAATAGGTTGAAGGGGGAAAAACTCACATCATCTCAATTGATGCATAAAGAGCATTTCCTGGCCCAGCCGGCGTGAGTCAGTGGTTGAGCATCAACCCATAAACCAAGAGATCATGGTTCAATTCCTGGTCGCAGCACATGCCCGGGTTACGAACTCAATACCCAGTAGGAGTGCAAGCAGCAGCTGATTAATGATTCTCTAACCATTGATGTTTCTCTCTCTCTCCCTCTCCCTTCCTCTTTCTGAAATAAAAAAAGTTATTTTTTTTAAAAAGCATTTAATAAAATTCAGCATTTTTTTTCATAATAAAAACACCTGGAAAACTAGGAATAGCTTCCAGTTCTCTGACCATCTATTCTACTGCTCCCTCTCTCCTCATTCACTCTAATTTTATCTCATCATTCTCCTGTTTGTTTTTTAAAATATATCTTTATTGATTTCAGAGAGAGGAAGGGAGAGGGAGAGGGATAGAAACATCAATGATGAGAGTCATTGATCGGCTGCCTCCTGAACGCCCCCGACTGGGGATAGAGCCCGTAACCAGGGCATGTGCCTTGACCAGGAATCGAACCGTGATCTCCTGGATCCTGGGTCGATGCTCAACCGCTGAGCCACGCCTGGCCAGGCACTCCTTACTGTTCTTGAACATGCCAGATACACATCTCAGGGCCTTAGCACTTGCTGTTCCCTCCACCTCAAACACTCTTCCTAGAGACATCAGCCTGACTCCCTTATTTACTTCAGGTCCTTTTCAAGTTGCCTTCATGTGAGTACTTCCCTGTCTATCCTTTCTAAAATTTCACACATACCCATAGACAGACCCTGGAATTCCATACTCTATTTTTCCTCCTTATTATCACTAAGAAGATACTATGTAATTTTAAATTTGTACTTATAGTCCATTTGGGATGTAAACTACATAGGGTAGGAGTTTTCTTCTCCTCCATTTTGTTCACTGCTATATCCCTATTGGCTAGAACAGTTCCTGGAACATAGTAACTGTTCAACAAATATATATTCAATGATTTAACCTATATGCAGGCATTGGTTGAAGCTATAGTATAAATGATAGCCTCAGTTAGGCTGCAGAGTAAGAAGGGACGTAGGTTGAACACAAACCCCGATAAACTCTACCACGCAGGGAAAAGCAGTTGATCCCATGGAGAACCAAATAGAATGTTATTAACTGAAAAAGAGTGAATCCTACCTACCAACATTATCAATGATCTCAGAAAATTGTAACAAACTTGAATATTAAGCCTTGAGATTCAAGGGCATAAAGAGAATGGAGAAAGCTCAGCACCTTTCACTTAAAACTGAAATAATTTTTTTTAAAAAATATATCTTTATTGATTTGAGAGAGAGGAAAGGAGAGGGAGAGAGAGATAGAAACATCAATGATGAGAGAATCATTGATCAAGCCCATAACCCGGGCATGTGCCCTGACCAGGAATCGAACCCTGATCGCCTGGATCCTAGGTCGATGCTCAACCGAGCCATGCCCGACCGGGCCTGAAATACTTTTTTTGAATAACTCCCTAGCATGTTGCATTTCAAGGACTCACTGAGAGGCACATTGTGGGGAATTCCTATTAGATATTATATGAGACTGAGTGACTTAAGTGAATCCTTGCCTACAGAGAAAACCGTTATGCAATGCAAATAATTCACAGTAGGTAATTATCGGTGAGTGCTAAGTAAACGTGTTTCTCCCCAAATGCTACAGGAACCCAGCAGCGGGGTGGGATGAGTCCTCATTAAAGAGATCTGGGGAGTCTTGGTGAAGGAGGGGAATTCAAGCTGGACGTTGAGGAATGAGGCTTCCAAATGCAGAGCATAATATGTGTGTGCTGGGGGAAATAGGCAGGTCAGGGTAGTGAAATGGGTTTTGAATCTAGAAACAAAAGCTGGAGCTTTGACTGAGGTCCTCGTGTGCCAGATTCACAAGTACAGTATTGGGGAAACCACTGAAGATGTCTGAGAAAAGAACGGAAGTTGAGACTGGGATCAAAAAGTAACTATCAAATATCTATTTCTGTTCTAATGGACCAACAACGTAACTTCAAATAATTTGTAACTACAGTAATTCATTTTGCCAACTCCAATGCCCCTGAAAACTTTTCAGTGACTTCTCATTGTTCTTAAAGACCCAAACCTTTATCATAACCCATTGGACCCATCTAGTTGTCTGTACTCTCTGCTGCCACCACGCTGGCTGTCCTTGCTCTCTATGCTGCTGCCCCACTGGCCTACTCGAAGTTCTCCTCCCACCACAGGGCTTTTATATCTTCTGTCCATCTGCCTGGACAGCTATCCCCCCTCCTCTTTGCCTAAGTTTCTTCCTTCAGATCACAGCTTAGGCATTCCATCCTGAGGGACACTCTCCACCCTCCCCATTTCTATCCTGACACTGAAAATTTCTCCATCACAGCACTTAGTGTATTCAGTAATACACTTAGTTGTGATCTTTGATTGACATATCTCCTTTACTGGGCTGAAGCTCCATTAGGGTAGGGGCTTTTCCCCTGGCTGACAACTATATCCCCCATGTCCGCACATAGAAAGTACCAATAATTATTTGTTAGATGGGAAGATGCCAGAATCATTCAGAATCATTCGGGGGAAGATTGCTTATCTGTCAGCTTTTTTTTTTTTTTTACATTGGGAATTAGATAATGTGGCATTATAATTCATTCCGTCTTCTGCTGTTTTAACCCTTTGTGGTCGTTTGTCTACTCTCAGCCACCAAAGCTTTTTTACTGTTCTGGTCGTATGCCTGCTCTCAGCCACCACAGCAAGGAACCATACGAATCTTAACTCCATTCATGTATCAGTTCATAATTTCTCTGAAAGCTATTAATTCTGACCAGTACGACACCCATGTCCAAATTTAATACGACCGCAAAGGGTTAAGCCTCTTGGAACGTGTCCAAGTTCACATGGCCTGTCAAGATTCAAACCCAGGCCTGTCTGGTTAAAAACCAAGCAAAAGCAAGCATGTATTTTCAGTTATAGTGTGTATATGTGAGCAAGGAAGTAGGAGAAGATGGAGCAAGCCTTCTCACAAGTACAAATCTGATCCCATTGTTTCCACTTTCAATATAGGTCATCAAGCCTTGCTTACTTAAAAAGCTTATGAACTTACAAGCAGACATAGCAGACTGTTTTTTCACTGTCCTTTCTTGGAAAAGCCTTGCTTATATGCTGCTTTTTCCACTCTACTTCCTCTTATCTGGGATTTGTGACACATAATTGAACTAAAAAAAAAAAAAATCAATTGAACACCTGTGTGAAATCACCCACGGCTGGGAAAGCGATGATGATGTAGACTGATGCCAAATCCCTGTACCTTCCCAAAGGCCAGGCCTGTCTTTGGTGGAACACTCCTCTATAGAAAGTAGCAACTCCTGGCTCAGCCTATATTAGCATTTAATCTGTGAGTTTTAGTACATCATTTGTCTCTGAGTTTTCTGTTTATAAAGTGAGAGTAATATAAATACCAGACTTCAAAAACAGAGCGCCTAACCTTGTGTCTGTCATTTTACATGCACTATTTCATCTACTGTTTACAATAATCCCATGGTGTCAGAAACACATTGTATTATGGGTAATGTGACTTGCTCAAGTTCATATGATCAATAAAAAGAGGAGCCTGGGACTCAAATTTAGACCACCTGACCACTATTTTTTTTTGTACTATGTCTCCTATCCCAGCAGTTTTGAGAGAACCACTTCACAAAGAAATGTATTTTAAAATATTTTCAACTATAAAGCTCTACAGTTTTAAGAATATTAAGCAATTTTTTACACTAGAGAGGAAGAATTAGAACCTGATTAAGGTTTTAAGGATGACAAATTAATTACCAGAGAACAGCTTACTTTTTCTCTTAAGAATCATAATATTTTCTGTACTTCAAAAGTTCTCAATTTAAAGAATAAAACAGAAAATAATTCAATTGAAAAATGGGCAAAGGACCTGAACAGACATTTCTCAGAGATATATGAAGGGACAATAAACAAATGAAAAGATGCTCATCATCAGCCATCATGGAAATGTAAAGCAGAACCACAATGGGGTAGCACTTCACACACTAGGATGCTATAATTTAAAAGACAGTAGCAAGTGTTGGCAAGGATGTAGAGAAACTGAAACTCTCCTACACTGCTGGTGTGTAAAATGTGCAGTCCCTGTGGAAAACAATTAGGCAGTTCCTCAAATCATTATGCATAGCTACCGTACGATCCAGCAATTGCACTCCTAGACAAATACCGGAGAAATGAAAACACAGATAAAACTTGTACACAAATTTTCATAGCAGCATTATTCATAGGAGTCAAAAATTGGAAACCTAAACGTCCATCAACTGATGAATAAATAAAATATGGTATATGTCACCCATGCAATGGAATATTACTGAGCCATAAAAGGAATGGAACACTGCTACATGTTACAACATGGATGCACCTTAAAAATACTATGCTAAGCAAAAAAAGCCAGTCACAAAAGACCACATATTATATGATTCTATTTATAGGAAATGTCCAGAAGAGGCAAACTCACAGAGACAGGAAGTGTTTCAGTGGTCGCCTAGGGCTGGGGTGGTTGGTGGTGGTGACGGTTTCAGGCGTGAAGGCTAAGGGGTACAAGGTTTCTTCTGGGGATTATACAAACGTTCTAAAATTGACTGTAGTGATAACTGCCCAACTCTGTGACTTAATACTACCAAAAACCACTGAACTGCACACTTTAAATGGGTGAACTGTATGGCATGTGAATAAAGCTATTTTTTAAAAAAGTTCATTATAAACTGCATTTTCAATACGAAGTATTTATCAAAGCTTACTTTAAACCAAATGCATTTTTCTTATCACCACCTATAACAGGATTCTAATATTTTTGGAACATTATCTCTGAGTATCTTTCACAGGGATAGCTTAAAATTACATTTAATTCATGGATTTAAACATGAAATTACTAATGCTAAGATGAAGTACAAGGATGCCTGGAGATCCATATATGGTATCATCATCCACTTAATCAAGAAACCTAGGAGTTTCTTGTTCCCGCCTTCCTTGAGCCCTCATATCCACTTCATCAGCAGGAAGCCCTGTTTGTAAACTCAATACGGGTAGAATTTTCTGTTTACTTATTATAGTACCCTGGTACTTAGAATAGTACCTGGCACATATTAGATGCTTAATTAATATTTGTTGAATAAAATAATTCATGCTGCCCTTGAAACTAACACCTTTAAGAAAAAATAATTTAAAACCCTCATTTGATAATTTGTTAACATATGCACTAATTTTTAAAAATGTAGACTATGGAAGTTTCATTTGCCATTCCAGTTGCTGAAACATGTTAAGGCTAAATTCTCAAAGGGAGACAGGTATGCTATGCTGCCAAAATATTTAGAAGTAGAATGTAATAACTTTATTCAAGTTTGCTCTTGTTACCTGATCCACAAATATTTGAAAGATATTTTATTTTATAAAAACTTACATCTGTAAGTAATGGACTGACCATAACAGAGGGCTTAATCTGGAATATAGGATATGCTGAGGGGCCCATGGACCCCTAAAATTGTATGCAAAATCTAACATGTATATTGGCATGTGTATCTTTTTGGTGAGAGAGTTCATAGCGCAATCAGATTTTCAAAGAAGTCTATGACCCGAGAGGTTAAAAAAATTACTTAACTATAAACAGTCACAAAGTCTTTTAAACACGAATTTGTACAATAAAGTAATATCCAACAGCTCCATCTATGGGTAGGTCATTATTACCTAACAGAAATAATGACAACTACCAGAGATCAGTGCATCTTATGAATGCTTGTGTTTAAATCTTCAGTGTCACTCTAGTGGGAATTTATTAACTATAGTATCACAGTTTTTCCTTCCAGATATAGATGCAAAATTAGGAGACTGTTGATGAATTCTACTTACAGTACTTCAGCACCAAAAAATTGGGCAGTTATGCTGATATATGTATGTACAGTTCAACATCTGTCAGTCTTAAAACACTTATTTATAGTGAAATCTATATAAAACCGTTAAAAACTTTTCTATTTACATTTTTTAAAAAATGAAAAGTATAATTTTCTTTGCCACAACTTGTCAAAACTGCCTCTTACCCTCCCACCCTCTTACCCCTCACTCTACTTGTGACAGACAGTGATCACAAGAATCAAACATACTGCTTAAACAAACTGTGTCCTAAAAAGGTAGAATACTTAAAAACATTACATTTAGAACTGTAAGTGAACTATTTATACATTTCAAAGGGGGTTAAACAAAAGTATGTAAAAGAGTTTTCAAAGTCTCAGTCCAACATGAATGTGCAATTTCAATGTAAAGATAGCAACATATGAATAATTTGCTTTCCTGAACATTTCCTTTGGGTCAGAAAATGTTTCTTTTTCCTCTGCTTCACAATGAAACATTTTCTTGTAAGTTTTCTTTAAGGGGGGAAGGGGGAGATGGAAATGTAGGCAATCCTGGTTTACAGGAAATTTGTCAGAAGGAATAAAGTCTGCTTTGAAATGTTTACATTTAAATAAATAGAAGGCAAGTATGCCTGCCTAGAGCACAAAGAAACAACACAATAAATTAGCATACAATTGGTGAGAATGTACAAGCCACCCAAAAAGCGTTCCCCACTGGATAGGGACCTGATTTTCACCATCCAACAAGGATTCTTTAATGCCAGTATTTTTCTAGTTATTTTATAAACTATGATCTGAGCAAATTCAAAATGTTGAATTGGTTAATTCAACACTTCCAGGGATTTGCAAAAACATACAAGATTAAAAAAAAAACACAACTGTTCCTGACACACTATAGTTTCAAAGTACAAACTATTCACATTCTCTTTTTTCCACGGTGTTTTGCTCAGTAGAAAACAGTTGAGGAACATTCACAGAAAGTCTCTTTCCATTGCAAGACAAACTTTTCCATCAGCCATGGTCCAACAGAGGAAGAATATCAAGACTTATGCCACTGCTGCAGATGTGCATCTTTTTTTCTTTTTTCCTTTTTCTTTTTTTTAAAACTACATTCCCCTGTGAGTTTTATCTTGTTTTAAAATGCTGCTCCTGCAGCAATTCTTGCTGAAACACTGCTGCTGCGGGGTCTACAGCCTAAGCATGGGCAAAGTGCTTTCTTTAGACATCAAAAATACAAGGGCTTCCCTGGACACTTGGTAACCAAGCAGGTTTTAAAGTGCACTCCTGTGTCCAAAACACTAGGACCGTTCAGCAGAACTCTGAGAGGGGCTGGGCTCAGTTCCATCCTCTGTGCTACTGTCTATGTCCTGTTCCATTGCTGTTTCATCATCATCCAACTGCTGACTGGTGAAGTTGTTTAGCTCAAGGAGCCCGCTAGGCTCTACTACCACATTGGAGCTGGAGTGACAAGGAATAGCATACTGAGGGATGGCCTGGAAGAGAAGACACAGGAGAGAAGTTTTATGGTAAGAAAAGGTAACAGAAGGATCTCTCTAACAACACTAAAGAAGGAAAAAGGAACCTGACATTTACTGGACAATTACTACACGCTAGGCACTGTGCTAGGTACTTTTACATATGATACTCTACTAAATCCCCATAATATAACACTATAAAGAAAACACTTCCCATTTTACAAATGAGGAAACTAAGAGGGTCAGTGACTTAATCAAGGTCACACAGTTGGTCAGGGTTAATGTCAGGATTCAAAGCCAAGTCCTATAAAATTCAAAGTGATCTTTCTACTCCTTGATGGCTCCTCTTCTAACAAAGGAGGCTGAAATCTGTGCCTAATTCAAGAGAGAGACTTTGAAGCACATTTTCATTTGATCATTAAGCACATTTTAAATGTATATGTAGTCAGGTTTTTTGTTTACCTCCCTGCCCCCCCAACCCCCCACCCCCCGTTTCATATAGCTAATCACTGTGAAAAAGCCTCAGTCAGGAAACCAGAACTTTTGTTTAGCTCTGGCTCTAACCGTGGACCTTTAAAAAGTCACTTCACCTCCTTGAGTATGCTCTTGTGTAAATAAGATAGTTGGAGAAGATATACTCTAAAGATCCTTGCAGTTTTAAAATTCTATGAATTCCACATATATAGACTCTTTCAGGATAGTATATATATATTCATCTTGTTTATTACTGTATCCTTAGCACCTAGCACAGTACCTGGAACATAGGGGCTAAATAATATATGTGGAATGAATGAACAAATGAATGAATGAAATACACATTATCTCTGTCTACAAATAACCATACTTTTCATTCAAAGCATTTAATATCAAAGCACTTCTGCAGACTTCTTTCACTCATCCCCATAGGTATTTTTCTGAATTAGCAAAATCAGTATGTACTTCAGATCATAGCTAAGTACAACTAATAAGATCTGAAAATGTTCTGACAATGTATTAATGATGATTATAATAACAGGAGTTATCTTTATTGAGCCTACCAGACACTTGACCAGCTGCTTTCTATGCATCTTCTCCCCTAATCCTCAAAACAACGCCGTAAGGTGAATGTCATTGTTTCCATTTCATAGATAATAAAACTGAGGTTAACTCTGTTGCTCAAAGCCAAAATGCTGGTACGGAGTAGAGGTGAGATTCAAATCTAGGTATTTCTGACTCCAAAAGCTTGATTCTTAATCACTATGCTGCCCTTCACTCTGACGTAGCCATCTAGCACATGATACATGCTGAAAGTTAGCTGAGTATTCTGTGGAAAAACTATTAATTAGCCTATTCCTTCTAATGCTTACCTGGATGATATCCTAATACATGCAATAGGCTGTATTTTCACCCCTGTTCATAAAGTGCAGAAGCTGATTTTCAATTAAGCTATCCAAAATTATTTTCAATTTAGTGAGTACACCAATTTAAACCCCCAGGAACCCAGTAAGTTTTAGTAAAAATAGTAATAGCTACATTTATTCGGCAATCATTGTGAGCCAGGCACTGTGCTAGGTGCTTCATCTCAATTTTACATAATCCTTACGTCCATCGTGTAAAGTACGTGTACCTTATTCCCATTTTACTGATGAGGAGACTAAGGTACAGTGAAGTTAAGTAGCCTTGCCCAAAGTCACACAGTGAATGGTAAAGCCAGGAAACCATTCCTTTTTCATTATACTCTACCTCTTCAGAGGAAGAGAAAAAAACCACAACAAATTTCTTTGTCAAAGATTAATTAAACACTAACATTTGTTTTAATAGGGAGAAACAAATTATTTGAAAAATTCAATGGCCAGTTCTATTTGCCTTTAAGCATTTCCCCCATATTTAATTATATTGTATTTGGACTGATATTGGTTAATTTGCATTCTCTCATAGCTTGGCATCATGGAAAAGGGAACGTTTACCATGGAAAAGGGAACTTCCAAGTGTGAACCTATGGTAAAACCCTAGACTAGCCACATTTCATCAATCTAAAAATTCTCAATTAAAATGTGTTGCTCTAATACCTTCTGAGATAAGTATCAGTTTATCAAAAGATGACACCTGTCAAGAAAACAGCCTGGTACTCTGCAAGGGGAGAGGGAAAAAAAACACAATTTCTAGGGGTTAGTCTTAACTAAGTAACTCCTCAGTCTTGATCTTTTATGCATGATGAAAGACGAGTTTAGAATGAAGGGAATGTGAGACATTATGTTCACTAGCCTGTACTTACCAAGGCAGGGCAGTAATCATAACAAGATTTTTCAATAATAATGATTGAAATAAAAAGCAAAGCTTTATGGTTAATCCCAAGTTAGACATAAAATTAAATTATTTAGAAAATTTTCTTACAACATGTTTCTCCAGACATTTCAGTTAATTGAGTTTTTATTATCCTGAAAACAATAAATTTGGATCAAGATCAAGAACTGTGTTTTTCCAAGGAAACAGCCCCTGAAATGTACTTGAAATATAAGTACAATCCAATTATATCCCAGGAGTGTCTGAGCAAAGATTAGGGAGTCTAAAACTGCCCCCAGGAAGTTTCAGGGGTGACTTGCTGAATTAACACTGGGACGTGAGGCTTACACCTATAAATCAAGCTGACATATGGGCTCAGGGCCCTTGACCGTCTCTAAGGTGTGACAATGTCCAACAATTTTTCCAGGACTCGCTTCTAAAAAATAAATATAAAATTATATATTTGAGTAAGTATTAAACCAAATTTGTCAAACACCATTTCAAAGTAATTTCTGTCTTTTCCCCATGTAGGTTTGACTCTTCATGTGACACCCCAAAACACACCACCCTCAAGATGCCCGAGTTCTCATGTTCCTTCTAATTCTTACCTGGATGATAATTTCTGCTGGGCTCTCTTCAGCTTTCTTTTGGCCTACATTCTGAATATGCATGAACTGGCCTGTCGTCGGCACTCCCGGTGCATCGATTTTCCTTGTTGTTAGGGGAGGGCCAACAGCAGATGGACTTGAACAGGACTCTCTACATTTCTGTTGCTGGGCAGTGCAATTTGCCATCCCTGCCACCACTACGTGGGTGGAGGTTAATGATCCTGTTTCACCAGTGAGCATACTAGTGGCAAGAGCCTTCTTTGGGGGATCCACTACCATATGCTCTACATTTGTATCAATCTGAGCTTCCATCAAAGACATTTTCAAAATGTCTGACACTGCTGTCTTCTCAGAGGCCTGAATGGGAGATATGCTTGTAACTGGTGATGTCAGCTTAGGCACAGAACTGCCACCAGTTATCTTTGTAACTGTGGGTGGCTGGCGCCCCTCAAAAGTTATCTTTGTAACAGAGGATCCTTGTGTTATAATTGGCTGCTCCACCTGAAAACAAATTGGGGTTGTGTGTGTTACAGCTACATCTTTTTGAAAATCTATCAAACACCCCAGACAATATGGCAAAAGAAACATTCGTGCGGTATACTAGGAAGACATTTTGAAGCTTGGTGTTTCGATAAGAGGGCTGGGTAGGAAAGTAACTGGTTACTTTTAACGAACCTAGGGAAAGAGGAGGGGTCGAAAGAACCTTTGTTCAGCCAGCCAAGGTTCATAGCAGTAAAGAAAAAAAGTCACAGCAGCCTTGTTTTCCTTTGGGATATATATTCCCACACAGTATACCTTCAACCTGTCTCAAATTATTTCATATAATCTCCGGTTTTTTAAAATAAAAAGGTTTTAAAAAATATTTTGCTTCAAAATACATTTATACAAACATATTCTATATATATATATATGTATCTGTAATTTACACAAACATACGTCACTCCAAAGCCACTGATTTTCCCGAATATGGTTTTTCTTTCAAATATCCACAGATAATTTATTAACTAGAGGGTGATGATGTAAACTACAAAGAAGATGTTCAATGAAGCTCCTTAAAAGACTGTAGTTTACTTAGCATTATTGCCACAGATGTAAGAATTTACAGGCATGGAAATAAATATTTTATACCTAAATAAAAATAATTTAGGGATATTGCTTTTATGCACTGTTGATCAATGCTGAAGTGATTTCATTTTTTAAATGCCTGGAAAATCGAGTTCTGAGTGCTATGATTTTTTTCCTTCCTATATTAATGTGTGCATTTCTTCCCTATTGTCAACCTCCTGATGGGGTAAACTAACACCAGCGTAATGAGGCTTTCGAGTTTCCTCTTGCCAGGAGAAAGCACTGCTAATCACGATAGGGTCGTGATGGTTTCATTTTTTCCGTGAACAGAGAAGTTTAACTTTGCATGCTATCAATATTCCGTTACCTGGCTTGCCGGCTGTTTCTCTGACGAGGCTGGGAGCGCCATTTGGCTCTGGGGGGTTTGGGGTTGCACGTAGATTTTTGGTTGGTTCGGAGCCTGCTGCAGTTTAGGGAGCTGCTGTGTGGTTTTCACTGCAAGCACCTGTACTACAGTTTGCGGGGGCTGTGCCATTAAGGTAGGAAGCTGCCTGTCTTTGGCCACGATAGGATGCTGTGTGTGCTGTACATCTGGCTTGGGCTGTGCTTGTTCTTGCTGGAGAGGGGTGAGTTTTTGATGCCTGATGGAAAGCTGGGGCATTTGCGGGAGTTTGTGCTGGAGCTGGTCTGCCTGCAGGTGGATGGTCTGCTTCTGTTTAGTCTGGAAGCACTGCAGAGTTTTCACTTGCAGCTGAGTCTGTTCCAGCTGGGGCTGGCTAAGTTTCTGCTGTTTAGCGGACTGTGACTGAGTCAGGGCAGATCGGTAAAACAGACCTGTCTGAGGGTCTAAAGTGTCCATCTCTTCAACCTCGCCCTCCTCAGTTCCAAGTTCCTCGCTGTGTTTGGTAAAAGCAGTGTGACTGCTTAATGCCTAAGTAAAAAAGGCACAAATAAGAATGAAATAAGAAAAACACCTACATTGCTACATTTTCCTCAAACTGGAAAATACTTGGTTATGAGATTCATGCAAAAATTTTCAGAGGGAAAAGCCTAAAAAGACAAAGAAACCTCAAGGTTTCCAAATCTAAAGAGGACTTTACACTGAGACTCTCGTAATTTCAACTCTCAGACATTAAGTACTGTAAAAACTGGTCTGCTAACTTCTGTAAGAAACGTTCGAGAAGGCCCAGAACTTACAGGTGAGAAGAATAAGGCTGCTCTGCAAGCACAGCCCAACACAGCAAAAGAAGAAAAGGCTCCCAGGCTCAGGACACAGCTCTCCAGCCTGGTTGTCAGAGATGCTAACCATCCAAAGAAAGATGCAACCCAGGAGTGAGGTGTCCAGAGAAAAGCCAAGGTTCAGAGAAGCCCACTTTGGCCATGTGCATGTCCAACACTGTCCAGAAGGTAAAAATTGTTGCCTGAGGGGCATGCCCATCCCAGTCCCCACAGAGGGCCTCTGCTCAGAGTGGAGATGGTTTATCAGACTTCACGAAGGTCTGTGAAAGCACCCTCTGCACTAGCCCTCTTTGCCCCCGTGCTCAGATTCCAGGCCACCAGGCAACAGCTTCCCGGAGACCTGGCTCTCTGGAGGGAAGGAGAGGGAGGAGGGGACAAGAGCACTTCTGTCCGTAAAAAAGGAGACTGTCTGGTGTGAGTTATAATAGTGTTGGGAAGAGGCATCGATCTTGAGTGACATGGTTAGGGCCGGCCTGTCTGACTTCTCTGGGTGTCTTGAGAAAGGTCAATGTCAGGACCGGCCAGATGAGGGTCAGACTCCAGGCTGAGATCTGACACCTAGCAAAACCTCTGGCCATCTGGCTTCCCTCAGTGACACAAGATCCACTCCAACCCATCCTTCCTGCTACCTTGTCATATGCTACACCGCTACTCTAAACTTTAAAACTTTGAGATTCAATTAAAACCCTCCCCTATCTCATAATGAACTTACACATACAGGTTTTTAATTCAACAAATTCTTCATTGCCTTTCAGGTAGTTTGCCTACCATTAGGGTCAACTGCTACTAGTAGTCAGGTGAAGGTGATTTATGTGAATACTAATAAATCATGCTTAAATCTGATATCTATGATACCGCTTTATAATAAAGGCAGGCTGCTTTGGGTTTAGATCCTGGTTCTGCCACCTAGGATAAGTTACTTAACTTCTGTGAGTATGAGTTTCCTCATTTGTAAGAGGGATAATACATCCACCTTACATGATCATAGAATTAAACTAGTGTATTTAAAGCCCAAAGCACAGTATCTGACACAAAATCAACTTATCGACATGTTTCCTTCCTTTTTCCCATTATCCTTGGTATTAGATATTCTGTTTTAATTAATTCATTCTCCTTACTACTGAGTCTTTTCCTTTTTAACTGATCACATATAGTAAAACAAAAAAAAGTCAAATATTTATTTACCTACTTATTCTTAATGCTCCTATGAGGATTCATTATAAAAACAAAAAGTAAAACAAACAAAAACACTACGGCAGCAAACAGTGAAACAAGCCAACTTCTATTTCCTTTGAAAATCTTACCTCAGTGATAAGTTCTTCCGTAACAATAAAAATCATAGTAGCAGTGACCAATTATGATGTCATAAATTCATCTAGATAGCCCCACCCTTTCAAAATAGTAAGAATTCACAGAAAATCCAAGAATACTATTTCTTAATTACTTTCTGTTAAGACTTTCAATTCATTTCCTCTATTCACTCCTCACAGACAAAGGAACTACACAAACACTCTCTGATTCAGTTATTTCTCCTCTTATAATAGGAGGTGAAACTGAACCTTATTTCAGGAAAAATGCAGTTACAGAAGGTAGGGGGGGGGAAAGAAGATACAACCTGCTGCATAATGTGGGTGATTGCTCCTGGGGAAGATGCTGGGATGGACTTCACCACCACTGAAGTCTGTGTTGCAGTCTGTGACTGAGCCACATGCTGGAGCAGCGTCCGCTGGGGCTGGGAGGGCTGTTGGGGCTGGGAGCGATGGCTGACTGAAAATAGAGGAGGTGATGATATTTCTCCAGAAATCACTATAGCATCTATAACCAGTAGTCATTTTAAACAAATTCCTGTGACACTGTGAACTAGGAGGCAGAAGACCAGAGTCTGCCCATCTAAGAGCTGTGTGACTCTGAGAAAGTCACTTACCTTCTCTGAGGCTCTGTGTCATTTGTAAAATAGGAATAACAGAGCTATTATAATGATGAGATGAGAAATGTGGAAGTGCAGTGAAAACTACCACCACAAAGAAGGAACAAACCCCTTAGAGTTACATTCTCCTATGAGTTGCACTCACTTTCTCCAATGATCTTTATCCCACTAAGTAACAAAAAATCATCAATTTCTGTAATTGAATCCCAGATTAATTTCTTTAATGATAGTAAGACAATACAAGTTTACTTAATCTCTTGATTCTGGTTCCAAATGCAACAAACACCAGAAGCATCCACTCCTTTATATGAAGTGACACTGTCTCACAGCCTTACAGTTCCTAAAGATGAAAGAGGTCAAGATGATACTGCAGAGAGAGTGTCAACACTGTCACACCTGGATTCTGCCCCACTCTGCCACCAACCAGCTATGTGAATTTGAAGAGGTCACTTAAACTCTATTTAACCTCTAAAACTTAGAGATTTTATTTTGTTTGATTTTTCTTTTTTTAATGGGATAATAAAAATTTGTTTCTACCTACAAGAAGACCAAATGAAGTAATAGATTGAAAATGGTCCTTAAATTGTTAAGTACTAAAATACAAAGTTAACAAAATAGAAATATCAGTGTTCTTTCATTTTCTCAAATTTAGCTCATCTGACACAAATGGGTAGTAAGAGTACAGACTGAAATAAACCCACTTCTTTTTCTCTTGCTATAAAAGGTCCCATGGAGTAAACTTTATTCATCTATATTGATGCCAATCGATCACATTTTACCAGCCTGAATTTCAACATTTTAAACAGTATAAACATTCACCACTTCTTATCCTATAGAGCTTTAAAAATGCTTATATTTACTGAGAAACCAACTTTCTGAATCAGGGACAGAGTAAAAAACCCCTAGAAAATTAGCCAAGGATTTTGAGAATATCAAAACTCTCGCAATAATCCATGATTCTAATGCCCATATATCTTGATCTACAATTTCTAGTAGAGGTTCCATACTTAGAAAAGTCATTAGTGGGGTAGCCAAGGGAAAGATGATCATTACAGAAATCAATGTATAAGTGCGATTTATGTGTTATAAGTACAGAACTTTAAAACTATCCAATGAAATATAAATAAGCTTTATTTATTTCTATAACACATTCTATCTATATTCAAAAATGCAATTTTTCTATTGTTGCTGTCTATACATATGCCTACATCTGATATAAGAGATTACAGGCAGCATCACCAGTCTTCTTTTATAAATGTACTGTAGTATCACAGTTTGCTTTATATGTACATTTTAAATTATATGAATTAATAAAATCTTCCGTATGTGCTTAACCAAACTGGGAAAAAAAGGAGTTAGGGTTTACATCAAAACAATTATTGAAATCATTTACAATGTGACTAAGAGAAAAAAAAAAAAATCATACTAATATTAAAATTAAGCAAGCAAATTAATGAAGTTTTTATTGATGAAAGCATCATCAGAAATGACATTTGAAAAATAAAGATAATTTCTGGTGAAATTGTCAGATTATATAAAACATTTCTGCTGTCCATACTAATCTTTATAATTACTACATTAATTTTTTTTATTAAGAAATGAAATGGATTTAATAGAAGACCAACCAAGACCATTTTAAAATAATTTTTATTCCAGATACTATAAATCTCTTCCCCAGAGTGCAGGAAAAGTTAAGATAAAACTAACACCCACTGCAGGATAATACAAGAGGCTAGGGCCAGGAAGCTGGCTTTGAAATCAAAGAAAATGTTCCATGTGACTGACGATATGATGGGAGGAGATTATGGAAGGAGGTCACAGAGTGAACGTTTGGAAAACAGCTGAAGTGACCTTAATTGGGTCAAATAAATACCATAAAACAGTCGCTTATTTCTTTAAAGAACTCATTTTTTCCAATGTCAAACTGCTCATTTCTGAGAAACAACCCCACTATTCTGCAAAAGGAAAATCTCTCTTCCTTTTCTTTCACTGACTGGAGTTTCCCTTTCCTCTACCAGATCAGAATAGAGTGCATCCACTTAAGTGGTTCTCCCCCAATCATCTTTTATCTTTGGTTATACAACAAATGGATGCACATCACTCACCTAGAAGGGGAAAAGCAATCTCTGTCCCCTCATCACTGCATTCTGAAAAGGGTAAGAATGGGAAGAAATCATAGGTCTTTTCATCTATTTGTGATAATTTAGTCTATCCACAGAAGTCAATACAGATTTCCCTAACATAGTGCCCTCTGCTTTATTTAGCTTTCTGCTAAATATCTCTAAAGTAAGATGCTAGATGGCTTTCCATAATCTTTAAATGGATTTTCTCATTTGGCAATTTAAACCTGTTAGTCTTAATATCTCCTAAAATGATGCCAAAGAATTCCTTTTCTGCTTTGGTATTTACATCCTTCAAATATTTTTAACTTTATGTTCTCTTTTAATCACTGCTAAAGAATACTTAAGACAGGTGTTCTTTACATAGTGCCTCATAAGTCCTCTCTCCTAACCTCTAAATATTCACATTACTACTCTCTGAACTATTTCAAATCTCAAGGTAATGAAGTGTCCAAAACAGAAAGCAGTATTCCAGGTGTGGTCTCAAGAATCTGAGAGAAAGAATCTATTATCCTTCCTGCTCCATTCTCTATATATGCCATCCAAAAATCTCATTAGTGTTTTGCTTGCCAGACTATATTTTAAACAAATCCCTAATTCACTTTCCACCAGAACTCCTAAGTATTTATAAGAATTTTAAATTTTCCACATTATTTTCCTTTACATTAAAAAAGGGTTGGATTTTATACTCTCTTTCTCCCTTGATCCACCTCCTTCTCCCCCAAAATTAAAAAATTCAGATGCATAAAAATGTTTATTCTTAGATAAAAAATATTTATCCTCTGATAAATGTTGCCCTATATTCATAAATATTATTTATGATCAACTTGCAGTTTTATATCACTTGCAAACTGTAACAACCTATTGTTTTTTTCTGCCCTAGTTGTACAAGAGTAAATCCCAAGGACAAAGTGAAACTGCTCTCAGAGCAAACTGAAAAAGATCTAGAAATATAAAAAATATATTCTCCCCCAAACAAACCACCCCATGAAATCCAGAAAGGTAGCTCTCCTACCTTAATATTACTTTTTAAGAGGACACCTACCAGTAGTGATGTATTCAGCAACTAGTTCTGACTCTACCACAGCAATTGATGGACTCTCAGGAGAATGTCTCTTTTCCTGGGTCATCTGAATAGGCACTGCCATTTGACTCAAGTCAATAGTGGGTTGTCTTGGTTTAGATTCCAATTTTTCCTTTACTGCATAAAAAAGTCAGGGAAAAAGTTAACTTTTATTACAAATAAGTACCAAAACCAGAGTTGTCCATGGGAATAACGAACCAGACCTTCTGAGGTGTCACACTGGCAGTGACTAAGGAGACAATGAGTTGAAAAGAAAAAAGCAGACTGCTATGCAGGGCTATAGAATCCACAACTTGTGCAACCATACCCAGAAGCCTAGCAAAAAGGACTCATATGCAATGAGAGTAAAATACCTCCTATTATTATCAGACCAGACAGCTGGTTCTGCTTCTCTTAGACACTTTCCCCTTAGGAAATTTCCTTTACCCTTCGTCAAGGTGTCCCTGGTGCCCTTGCGCTCACCAACCTGAAAATAAGGGGCGAATAAGCAGTACAAAGCATGATCCCCACCCAGGCGCTCCTGCCCAGGACAGGACAACAGCGATCAATTTAACTTCATCTATCAAAAACTTAGGATGATCTCTAAAGATATGTTACAATGTTTCAATGACTTTAAAGAATAAAAATTTTCAACATTAGGGAAAAATGGCCTGTGTTCCTGCAAAAAATGTCTTATGGAATAGTCTGGAAACAGGAATGGTTTCCATGGACAGATTTATTTTTCTATCTTATCACTTTTTCTACAGAATCTATTCATTTAGCTTCTACCCTCTTTAAGGCATTAATGAAAATGGATGAGTATGTCAAAAACAAGGAGCTGAGGAAATGACTAAGGTAAAAAATAACACCAATATTTAGAAATGTTAACCAAAGACTTACACTAAATGCTAGTATTCTTGGGGTAGTGTAGAGTGGATGTTACAACGAACAGTAGTAACTAGTAATCAAGTCCACTGAATGATCATTCAGATTATTCCCACAAAGCATATAATGTGACAAAATCAAGATAATAATTTAAACAAAGAAAGTAAAACAGAACCAAAGAATACAAAAGTCATCCCACAAGTAGAGAGGACATTAATCTAGGAATCTCTCACTCTGCCACTAACCAACTGGGTAACCTCTCTAGATCTCAGTTTATTTATCCATAAAATGAAAGGGTTGGATGAGATCATTGCTAAGGCCCCTTAACTACTCTGACAATCTTTGACCTATTATAATAGAAAAGTCAGTATTTATAACAGGTTTTGCCTCGAGTTCACTGAAGATATTTACTAACTAGAAATACTGATAGGATCTTGTTAATCAAAGATAGTTTTGCATGGAAGTAATTAAATTATACAAAGAAATAGAAGATAAAATTAAAACAAATTAGAATGCTAGAAAGGGCCATTAATGGTGTCTTATGAACATAAAACTGTCCCACCAATATCAAGGAGGATGACAGGGGCCCTTCAATCTGCCTCCTACTATTTTTCAATAGAACTGGCAACTGTACTGTATCTATTTTTCCACTTGGAAGTGACAGACCTATTCCTTTCTGGTAACAAGAGGCAACAGGATTGTCTACTGAAATCAGGAGATAAAGAAAGAGCTCTCCCATTTTTTTCCACCTTTCTACTGACTACATCTATCCTTCAGTACTCCTGTGCACATCTTAATGAACTGACAAATAAACAGACTGCACCAATGACTATAGACAAGTCCAGAGGGGGGAAATGTGCTCAAAATAATAACAAAGAAAATAGAACAGTGGTAGTATTTTAGCACAACCCATCTCTAGAGAAAACATGCTTCATTCAATTGAGCATGTGAATTCATACCTGTTGTCTGTTGGAGTTCTAATAGAGCTTTGATTGTTGAAGTAGCTGATTGTGATTCACTGGATACATCCTGATAAATTATGGTGGGGCTAGTCTCCATTGCAATCTCATGTTCTGACCAATCCTGACGCCGGGAAGCAATTACATGAACTACAGGCTGGGAATCTGTTTTATATTAGTTAAAAAAAAACAAACCCTATAAACAAAGTTTCTCTTAAAAAAAAAAAAAAAACCGTTTTTTTTAAATTTTGTATTTATTGTAAACTTCATGCTTTATCTCCCCAAGAAGACTTGTAAGCCCCCAGAGGGCATAATGTCTTTCATGTCTGTATTTACTTAATCCATTCATTAGTTCAACAAACTGGGCACCTATGTGCCAGAGTCTATATTTGGCACTGAGGATACAAAGGAGCTCACAGAATAATCAGAGGATTCTCAAGAAGCACACAATCTGGTTGGGGAGACAGACATGTAAAAAAGACAAATTACAATTCAATGTGATAACTGCTGTAATAAAATGCTGTGCATTTGTGTAAGTGGGTGCATATTTGTGTAGAGTAAGAACAAAGTGCTATAGGAGTCTTATTTTCCCCAATACATCTGAAAACATGCTCTGTATTCCAACCTCAGCATTCAGTCAACACTTATTGGATGACTGATTTACTGAAAGGAAATCCTGTCCAATGACAAGAATGGATAGATAATCTAGAAGCAGCCTGATATAATAAGGACACATAACATTTGGAGTTCAAAGTCTTATGTTACAGTCTCAACTCTATCAATCATTAGCAAGTTGATTCTTTGGGTCTTAGTGTCATTATTTCTAAAATGGCAACAATATAATCACTTCTCTACCTCACAGAATTTCTGAGGATATAAAGAAATCATATATATAAAAGAGTTTTATAAACTATAAAGGACAATAGAAATATTATTGCTGTGGTGGTGGTGGCCTGAAAGTGCTCAATTCTAAGACTTTTTGTTAGTTTCAAAATAAAGTACACCCTAATTCAAGGTTTATTATATTCATGCTATACCAGTATGCATGTAAATACTAAATGTGCATCAAATTGAGCAACAAATTGAGTTTTCCATCTACAGAATAAGCAGGTTGGACTAGACTACTGTTAAGTTCCTAAACTCCTGTGTGTGTCCAAGACACCACACAGAAAATTATGCAGCATATTTAAAGGCATGATTCCTACTCCCAAGTTTGGATAATAATGGAGGAGACATAAAATAAAGATATACATATAGCTTTGTATTTTGGGGTAAAACCAAATGATTAGGGAAAATAAGATAAATATATAGAAAGAAAAAGACTGCTCTGAATTGGAATGGTCAGTGAAAGAATCACAGAATAATAAAAAGAATTCATGTAGCCCTCAAAACAAGAATAAATAGAAAATAAGTTCAACCTCCTTCGAACATTGTATTTTTGAAAACCACAAAGTTGTCCAAAAATGTTGGGGCAGGGGAAACAACTCTTCAAAAAAAACAATAGCCTTCCCAAAGAAAACAAAATCAGTATATAATAGATCTGGAATTTTTAATTACCATTAATAAGTTGTATTCCTCCCCCAGGGAAAAACACACACACACACACACACACACTAGGTAGGACATAAGCCACACGAGAGATGTGTAATTTCCATTAAAAGTCCCCAAAAATCTAGAAAATTGAAGGACACTATCCTGGAATACCAAATGCCATGTGAAGCATATAACAATTTTTCTTTACTCATTCTAAGTAGATATATAGAACTTAAACTTAAGAGAATTATATTAGGGAATCATTCTTTTTATATAACCTAAATTCTCAAATTTAAAAAATTCCATTGATGATATAAATTCCCCTTAGTTAGGTGAGAGGACCGATAGGCAAAGAAAGACTTGGCAACCGGACTCTATATACACTGACTATCTAGAAGCAAGCAAGGACTGTATTTGTAGAGGGATATGGTAGAAATAGACTAGAAAAGGAAGACAAATTTCCACTGCGAGCACCTATTAGAGACATCACCACAAATAACATCATCCCTTGGAGACTGGGAAGATCACTCTCTTTCTGCCCATACTCGGAAAGAGTAGCTGACCATCACAAAGTATTACTGCAACAATTGTGACACAGAATGAGAGAGTAAACCTAGATGTGATTTTCTTCTCTACCTTTGGCTTATGCTTAGTCTGGATAAATCTACTGCCTATCAAGTCTGATGCTGGGGTCAGAAAGTAATGACTCAGATACAGGGAGCCTTATCTCACAGTGCCATTTGATTATGTGATTTGCATTCATCTTCTACATTTTTTTGAAAGTTTAATGGAGCCCGGCCGGGCGTGGCTCAGCGGTTGAGCATCGACCCAGGATCCGGGCAATCGGGGTTTAATTCCCGGTCAGGGCACATGTCCGGGTTGCGGGCTCCATCCCCAGTCGGGGGCATGCAGGAGGCAACCGATCAATGACTCTCTCATCATTGATGTTTCTATCTCTCTCTCTCCCTCTCCTTTCCTCTCTATGAAATCAATAAAGATATATTTAAAAAAAAAAAAAAAAGAAAGTTTAATGGAAATTATACATCCCTGGTGTGGCACATGTTCTACCAAGTTTTTGTTTTGTTTTCTTTGGTGGGGGGTGGGGGAGGAATACAGTTAGCAAATGGTAATTAAAAATTCCAGATCTATTATATATTGATTTTGTTTTCTTTGGGAAGGCTGTTATTTTTTATTAATGACTTCCCTATGTCTTTTGAAGATGGTGGCCTGCTGACCCTGAGATATCTTTCCCCACAAGTCACTTAACAAATATTTATTAAATACCTACCACATGTTAGATACTAGAGATACATACTATACTGTCACATCCAAAGGCAGACTCAGGCATCTCTATGAAAGAATGTCTCCTATATCCTTTCTATAAAATGCCTATATCACACTTTCATAAAATCATAAGATCTGTCAGCTAGAAAAGATGTAAAAGTTTGTTTAGCATTCTCATCAATCCTAGGCCATAACCTTCACAAAGTATCACCACCAGTGTGGGAACTCTGGCACCAGAGAACTCACTACTTCCCAAAACAGTTTCCTTCCCATCTCTGCACAGTTATGACAATTATAAAATACTCTTATATGGAACAGAAGGTTTTCCTAGGACTTCTACCCAATGGTTCTAGTTTCCATCCATGTATCCACAAAGACCAATTCTTTTCCCTCTTCCACATCACGGTTCTCAAAATCACTGATGACAGCTCCCATGCCCCCCCAACCCAACCCAATCGTCATCTTCTCATCCATGATAAATGTTCTGTCTCCACTAACCATTCCTCAAATAAAAGGATTCTCAGATGCCTTACCATCTAAACCATTTCAGTAAATCCCAGTAAATCCAAGATGTCTACACCCCTCTATGATGTAACATGTACCTTCCCTCTGAAGTACTATCATAAAGCCTAAGGCCTTCATAGTATTTAATTGCCTAGACAGCACTGCCCAAAATGTTCCAGAGAACATTAGTTTCTCAAGATGGTCTACAAAAGAAGGGTTCCATGGTCAAAAAGTTGGGGAGCATTTTACATTATGTACTGTACTCTTCATCTTTCACAATATATATTAGCACATAACAGCTTTGAAAAGTTCTGCAATAAGTATGTTTTGCTTAACTTGGATTTATTTCCCACCTTCACCATGACTGCCCAGATCATGAAGCTTCTAGAAGAATCATCCTAGAAACCAAGCTGTGGCCTACTTAAAGCAATGTCTTAACAGGATGCATTTTTCTATTTGCCTCATGCTCTGTTCCATCTTAAATCTCTACCCTGGATTTCTTCTCCTTGTTCTCTTCCATTTTACTTCAAGTAATCCTGTATGCTATCTAAACCACCTTAAAACTTTTTGGAAATAAACAGAATATAAGAAAAGGAACCTTTAATATTTTTTCTTTTTTAAAAATCTGGAACCCCTTAAGTCTAGCCTATTCATAAGTAAGAAAGGGAAAATAAAGAAGATCCAATTAGGAGGAACAGTTCAGGAGCTGTGAAGGGTATATGTCAATCTTCAGTAGGTGGCCTAGGCAAGTATGGTCTTAATCTATTAGTCTTGGTCATCTATCTGTCTAACAAGATCTAAAAATACTCCATATGTATACCACTTAAAAGGCCTACCCACAAGATCAGAGGAAACTCCAGAAAGGAAACAACATTTTGGACTCAGGAAACAAAAATGGGTTTATAAGGCTGAAGCTTACACTATGCCACAGATACTATGATTGCTGTTTATTCATTCAGTGAAACTTTTACTGAGTGTCTACTTAGTGCTAGTTTAGCTAATTATTGGATATATAGAGATAACTATTACCCCTGCCCTTAAGAAGCTAGTAGCCTTTTGGAAAACAATTATTCTAAACAAACAAATAGTACAAAATAAAATGATCAATGATAAAATAGCTGGTAGTACAAAGCAATTCTGGAAGCATAGTGTAGAAGGAATGATAAACTTTCCAGGGTGATCTAAAAAAGTGGTACAGCAAGGTGGAGAGGAATGCCTCTATTCTAGCCCATGAAGAGCTAGTTTAGGAATAAGGTATAAGGACTAAACTGTTCCTCCTTGGGGGTGGGAGACAATGGGAAAAATTTAGAAACCAAAAATAGAATCAAGAAATTCCCCTGGCATAAGAAACATTCTTATTTCCAGGACCTGTGCAAGAGAAGTCATCCAAAAAAAGATCTGAAATTTTAAAAAAAAGGTTGATTCATTTTTATAGTAGAATGCCAACTATCAAATATATAAATAATGGACTTTAGAAAATCATCAATAGATGCTAAAACTAGTAGACAAATGTTTTAATGGAGAACATGGTATTTATATAGTCTCAAAGTATCTCCCCACAAATTAATATAAATCTCAAAGGAAAATATGGTAACTTCATAATACAAAAAAGGGGAAGACATCACTTTAGCCAATTGATAAGCATTAACATCATCAATACTGGGACAAAATGACATCATGTGCCTACTGATGAGAAAACTAAAGACACAACATTGCCTCTGTGGAATTCCTGCTGAATCTAATCAAGAGGAAGCATCAGACAAAAACAAATAAGAATATTCTACAAAGTAACTGATCCATACTCTTTAAAAAATGTCAAGGTCAAGAAACACAAAGGTTGAAGGATTATCCAAAGTAAAAGGAAAATGAAGATTCATGCCAATTAAATGCAACTAAATGTAATGCATGGTCCTAAATTAGATTGTGGACTGGGGGAAAAAGTATAAAGAACATTATTGCACAGTTGATGACTTCTGAAAGGAGTACAGGTTACAGAATCATAGCATTAAATTTCTTGATTTGATAACTGCATTTTAGTTATGAAGAGACTAACCCTTAAGAAATACAAACCTACAAATGTAAGTATTTAGAGGTAAAGGACATGACATCTACAACTTGCTCTCAAATAGTTAAGAAATTTAAAACTTGTAAACACACTGGGAGTGGGGGCAGGGCAGAAAGAGAATCAACAACAAAGCCAATAGGGCAAAATGTAAACTAGTGGTGAATCTAGGTAAAGAGTATACACAGGAGTTCTTTTTACTCTTCCTGCTACTTTTTCCTAAGTTTGAAATTACATTAGAAGAAAATGTTGCTATGATGGGGGGGCGAGGAGGCTGAAAAGCACAAAGCAATATAAAAAAAAAAGGGACCGCTAGGTAGTGCTTAGATTCCTAGTAGTTATGAGCCTCATATTCTCTGAAAAACAGCATGATTTTAGACTGACCCAAACCTTTATCCCTTTCTCTTTAAGTCACAGCATATAGATTCCCAATCTCTTGTCTTTGTGAGAATGTAGTAAGGAGCTAGACAAGGATATAGGGGAAAAAAGCAAAAGTAGATGATAAAAACTGGCTTTATAGTCAATTATATTAGATAAGCCTACTATGAATTAAAAATATTTCTGTATTACAGAATATTTTTAAAGAAACACAATGAAAGATAGAGAACTAATAAATAAACACAGATGATATCTGTATTATAATAGATCAAAGAGCAGACAACCTTATACTCAATCACATCTAGAAATAGCCATTGTACCATGAGAGCTCCCTTAGGAAAAGAATAATTTCAAAAGATAATCTGAGATTCCATATATAAAGACATCTACTGTTCATGTCTCCCTTTTAGCACCAACTCATAAGCTAAATATTTTACATATTTTATAAAAATGAGTGACATGTTCATTTATTAAAATCAACTTTTTTATTTACTTTGAATTGGTAAGTTTTCAAAGACCATTTCAAATGCTACTTCCTTCATGAAGCTTTCTCATCCTCTCCTCACTGGAGTGTGAACTTTCAGCCTTTGGCATTTTTTGTTATTAATAAAATTTAGTTATTAATAAAATTCTTATACTGACGTTGTACATATATTTTTTTATCCCCTATTCTAGAGCTTAAGCTCCTAAGGGGCAAGAATTATATTTTACTCAGCCTTTGTAGGGTCTAGCATAATGCTTAGTACATAGTATAAGCTAATAAATAATTCTCAAATTGAATTAATGGAATAATTAGCAATTTGAACCATTTAAGACTAACATGAGAGATCCTACTGAAGAGTTAAAGTAATAAAGTGTTTGCACAATATGAAGAATCTGTATTAGGAAAGTGTCAACAAAGCACTCCAGAAAGGATAATGGGTAGGCAGGGAGAGGAAATAGAGTGAACAGGAATGATCAAGGGAAGACAACCAACTTTGCTTAGATGCATCCGAGTGCATAAGCATAGGCATAACACTGCCTGATAATAAGAGTGATTTAAGGTAACTGAGTACTAGATTTGTATAAGGTCTCAAAGATTATGATCATGAGTTAATTTCAAGAGACTTCCTAGAAGAACAAAATAATTAAAACAGCACTGAGGACCAAAAAGCTTCCCTACTATGAAGTATGGCTTCATAGCCCCTAGTTAGGAGAGCCATACAATTATTATCTAAACTGGGATACCTTTGAGAGTGAAAGGGAATGCTATTAATAATTATGCTAGAACAGACATAAACTAGGACTTGTCCCATGCAAAACTGCAATGTATGATCACCCTACTTACAGCCAGCCCACTTGTAGCTACCTCTGGCCACCTTGATTCTTTTTCAAGATTCGGCAACTTTCTTGCATACTTCTACCTACCCAAAGAAAACAGGAGGAATCATAGCTCTAAGCAGTTTGATAATACCTACCTGTCAAAATCATCATCTAAAGTATACCAATTATTTGATGAACATATGCCATGCAGTAAAGAATGGTAAGCCTTACCAAAAACAAATCTTCAGCTCACTAATTACAGATCAAACAAAATTTTTTAAAAAATCAAAAGAAGTGACAAATCGAAGCATACATGTTTGTTTAAAATTTCTAGATGCAACTATTTTGGAACTAGGGCACTATGTCAGCAGTAATTATATAAAATGGATCTTACCTTGGGAACTTTGGGAGGACTCTGTAGAAGAGGAACTATCTGTGTAATTCTGTGGTTCTTCTTTTCCCTCCTGAATAGAAGAATTACTGGCCTCTGCCACCCTGGACGCTTGCTGTAATGTTTCTGTGACCAGCTGCCTTGTTTGTTCACTAACAACTGTGGCTTGAAATGTTACTGGTTTGGGTTTAATAAGAACCTAGAAGAAAAGCAGAAATATTTCCAGTTTAAATTTTAGAGCACAATTTAAAATGTTAAACTTCTGGGTCATGAACAATAATATTTTCCTGGTGTGGGAAACAGCATTCTGTACATTTACTATGCTTTGGGCACAACATTGTTCATCAAAGACTAATTCAATCTATGAACTAATTATAGTCAAGCCACATAAAACGTTTTAAGTGGTACATGCCAGATTAGAACAGCCATGACTCTGACAAGAGCTTTTGCCCCTGTTTTTTCTTGCCTATGATGTCTTTAGGAGTCATTTTACAATCTAGGCTATATAGCAGAAATGACAGTCACAAGCTAAGAATGACAGAACAGAAAGATACAAGGATCCTAGATTCCCAGCTTTTTGTGCCACAATAATAGCCCCAGATTTCCCCACTCTGAACATTAATTAACATAATAAAAATAAAACTATAATTTCTTTAAGTCACTGTTCTTTGGGTTTCTATCATTAGCAACCAAATGAAATACCTAATTGACACATGTGTACAAAGTAATCTTGCTTGGGACCTAAATCATTTTTGAAGAAATCCCCAGAGGAACAATGATGCAGTCAACTATTAGAAGCAATATGGAACATGTGGCAGATCAACTCTTGGTAAAGGTGAAAACCAGACACTTAAAGCAAGTGAAATGGGAAAAATTTTTCAAAGTGAAGCATTCCTCTTCAAAATTTGGACTCTAGGAGTTGACTTCAATTGGGTGCATGGAGTAAAAATGTTAACTCAACACATTTATTTTTTATTTCTTTCATATATGAGATTCTAAACCTTTTCAGACTCTATTAAGTCACCCATTTCCACGAATTCAAGAATGAAAATATAATACAAGTTAGATGATGGAGGAAATAGAATTGTTCCAGTTGAATTTTAAAGGCAATTTGGACTTATTTCTAATCACCAAACTTACTTGTTTAGATAGTAAACTTTCTGACTATAATTCTGAGGGAATCATATTCTAAAGGCAAATTATCATTTTATAGGTAAATTACTACCTTTCACAAAAATTCTAGTATAGCATTTCTCAACCAAAGTGACTTTGCTTCCTTTGATATTCTCAGACATCATGTAAAATAAACAGAAGCCCAGCAACATAAGATTAATTCCTGAGCCTCAATTTCCCAGGCAAATTTCCAGAAAAGTTCCCTTAGTAGTAGAAAAATGAACAGATCTCTAGCTTCTCCATTATTTAGGTTTCAAGTAAAGCAAATTTTTTAGGTAAGTTAAGTGCTTTTGAAAGCCATATTAGCTTATAAAAAGTAAATACTTTTCTCTGAGAGATTTGGAATAACTACCATTTTCCCTCAATAACATACTCCACAAATAACAATATAAAACTTCAACAAATTTTATTCCAAGGAGATTCTTTTCTCCAATTTTTGCTCATAACATGACACAAATATTTAGATATTTAAAAAAAGCACTGAGGAGTGAAACACAGGTTTTGAAAATAGATGGAAAATTATGATAATTATACACATGCAGTCATAATTTTTTATAATTTGATCTTTTACATATTACTGATCTTTTCATTCAAATTTTTACCTTGGAATTTTAGGAATTTAAAATATATCTGAGCCAAGAAAAATCACCATATCTTATAGCATACCTGTGTTTTCCCTTGCTGCCCATAAACAATTTTTGTTGGGATGATTTTAGCTGCTGGTTGAACTGTAGAACCTATTCCTTTTGGTTGAGTTACAATCATTTTGGTGATGGGTCTTGTAGCAGTGATGATGGCTGGCTTTGCTCCCGTTGGTACCGTCTGAATAGTCTTTTCTCCCTAAATTGAAGTCAATATTATATGAGATTTTATAAGCACTTAAATGACAAAAACTGTCCTTTTACTGAAAAATCACAGAAAGATTTTACCAGGACGATGGGAAAAAGAGCTATAAATTGTGTAACAAAGTACAATGTTTCTAAGTGATCGACAATCCTAGACTTAGTTGAAATGATCTTAGAAGTCATCTAACTTTCTATCCAAAGAAGGCATTAATTATTTCTTGATGAGTGAATAAAAAGAATTACTGACAGAAGAATACCTATTATACTGTCTCATTCATAGAATACATATATTAAAAGTGAGAAAATTATAGAAAAATATATACTGAAATGTTAACAATGATAGAGTTGGGACTACAGGTCTTGTCCTATCCCATATTCATCTTTATTTTCTAATTTATCTAAAATGAACATTTATGTAATAAAGAAAATTACTGTGTATGACACCAATAACTAAATGTACACATATAAAATAAACTGCCTAAGTTCCCAAAAATAAATTAGAAGAATAAATAGCAGAATGTCTATGTGAAAAAGTATGGGCAAGAGATGAAATCAGCAAAGATTTAACATTCTGCTCAGCCAGGCGTGGCTCAGTGGTTGAGCGTCGACCTAGGATCCCAGAGATCACGGTTCGATTCCCGGTCAAGGCTCATGCCCAGGTTGGGGGCTCAATCCCCAGTCAGGGGCGTGCAGGAGGCAGCCCATCAACGACAACGCTCTCATCATTGATGTTTCTATCTCTCCCTCTCCCTTCCTCTCTCTGAAACCAATAAAGATATATTAAAAAAAAAAAAAAAAAGATTTAACATTCTTTCTGAGGCTATATGGGAAAATACAAAGGAAAACTTAGGGCATTTCCCACGTTTTAGTACTAGTATGTTACTAATATCACTTTAGTCTATTGACTAGATAGCTTAAGCCCATTAACTTTTCACCATTTTCTACATTTTCATCTGCTTTATTCTTAAGTACCATTTTCTGGTCACTTGTGGAGTCAATACTTGAACTTAATTAAATTAAATTCAAACACAGTAATTTTACCAAATTATTAAAATTAAAAAAATTAAAATCCATAAATAAAAAGGGAAGGACCTGAAATATTTCACCTTATCAGTTTTTCTTAATTTTTAGTCATTAAATGTGTCTGTCTAAACTTAACAGCCAGTAAAAACAAAGCACCCACGTGAGCTGGCAAAAAGGTAATCACAATGAACTTAAAGCCAAAATTATTACAAAACTCACAAGATTAACTATCTGCTATAATTATCTGGGGGAAACATAAAGTGTCTGCCAATTGTGTGCTTACTTATTTTAACACACACACTCCCTTCACAGCTTCAGCTCTGGAAAGAGCTCTAGTTCATTTGCCAAGAACCACTGGTTTGCAAGCGGGCATGCCTATCTATTAAAATGGCTAGATGGGCCCTGTCCAAGTATAATGAAACTATTCAAAGCCAATTCAAAACCAACTAGGAGGCTATTTTTTGAAAAAGCTCTTCTGGTGTGCGTGTGAACATGCACAGGAGAGCAAGTGGTTAAGTACAGGTGCATGTACACGTGCGGTAAAGAGGATAGTCTTATACTCTTTTCTGCTTATAACTATCATGTTCTGTGTCAAACTGTTGCTATTAGATATATCTAGCAGTTAGGATTCACAAATAACTCCTAGATTTGCATGACCTTAGGACCTATGTTGCATGGCAACCACTCTTAAATAGAAATTCTATGAAATTGCAAACCAGACTATAAAGGCTTCTGAAAATCTAAATTCTAATCCTGTATTTACTTTTGGCTTACTAAGTGAATTCATGCCAGGAATAATCTATGTCTTCCCACATGATGAAAAAATCTAACGCTGGACCCCTACCAACCCTGTAAAGACTGTGACATCTAGCAGCTATAAGAGATCTTCTATAATGAAATATAGTATTCTTTTTCAAACAAAGTAGGGACATTACCAAACCTAAACAGTTAAGTACAAAGAGTAATAACAGTAAAAAAAAAAAAAAAAAAAGAAACAACACTGAGGACTTCCTATATGCCAGACACTGTTCTGAGCACTTTCAATACAGCTACCAGTTAGTGAAAAAACTCACTGGTAGAGATTACCATCCTCAACACATAAATGATGAAATTAAGGATAAAAGAAGTTGAATAAGTTAGCCAAGGTCAAACTATGATCCTGAGATACCCAAGGTTTATCTAACTCCAAGCCTCTTAACCACTACCTATAAATATAAATAAAACTAAATGAATCTGTCATCTGAATTTTTTTACTAGCTCCAAAGTAACAAATCCCTATCAATTAATTTAGTCATAATCCCAAATATTTCTCTTTTTCCAGCCTAGGCTAAATACTAGGCCACTATCTACTGGCCATATGCAGGAATAAAATTATCCTCTAAAAGAGGTCCTCTTGTAGTTAAGCCAGTGGAATCCTCCATCGGGACCAAGCTAAGCATCTAAACCATTGTCATAAACAACCTGGGTATTGGCAACATGTTTTAGAAATTACTGTGAAAAATGGCATCAGTAGATGGTGTTTTAACAGTTATTACATCACAGTGGTGGTAAATCAAGCCATTCTGGCTATTGTGGGGTTGTGAAGTTCTTAAGCAAATATTTGCATAGCTGGTCTTTCAAGTCCTCAGTGGATTGCTGAGTCTGTAGTTCATGGTCTTACTTACTCCAGCATTTAGCAATGTTGTGACAACGTTTTTGCCCGGGAGGCCTTGAATGGTTGTTCCTTTTCCTGTAGTCTTTTGTACAACAATCACATTGGGCTTGGAAGTCATTGGGATTGTAGTGATTTTGGTAGTCGTTCCTTAGAGAAGGGGGAAGAAAAGGAGGCCTGAGTTAAGGACTAGTGATATTTGATTATTTCTGTTTATGTAGTACACAATTAACACATTGTAATCAATGTCATCCCAAGAGGACGTGAAGGCTGTCATGAGGAGGAAATGAAGGCGTAGAATAGTAAATTACAAGTTGTCCTAGAATGAGAGAATATTAAGAATTGACTCTTACAACAGTCATCTTTTTGGAACCTGAAGACCTACACATCAAACTCAGAACCTAAAAATACCACTATCAGTTTCGCCATCAATATTCCTCTCCCAACTAGTTAACTGAAACACATCAGAATGTCTATTCCATGACATATATTTCCCCCAAATTCAGTATCACATATCTATGTGACTAGTGTGATGGGAAAACTCTTCAAAAAGATCATAAAAAAGAGGTAGTTAAATGCTTATCAAAATTCACATTACACTCTAGAGAAAATGTATCAAAAAAAGACAAAACAAACAGTGACTCACAGACTAAGTTACAGATTAAACATGAGCTCTTAAAATCTGCAGCACTCTAAAAAGTGAGGATGAAACTCTATTTTATATATTTATATATATAAATTTATATTTACATCTATTAAGATCTACTTAGTAGAGCTGTATCTACTGACCCAAGCATTGTATTATCTTGCCCTCTCCCCCACATCGTTCCACATCTGCTTCTCTCCTACCTATTAAATCTATCTACCTATCAAATTTGTACCCTATATTCTTCTAACTGTCCAAGTTGGAAATACTGGTGCAAATCTTTGATTCATGCATTCTTCACTCCATGTATCCCCCAATAAAATGAAAGCCTCTTGAGGTCCACACTGTATCTTTTCATGTCACTGATTCCTCAGTGTGTAGCACAGTGTATGGCAAGTACTCAGTAATGAATATGTGAATGAACTCAATTTGTCACCAACATACGTCTTCTTCAAAATGTTATCAGTATCAGCTCAATAGACAAGCCCTCACCTCTTTTGGCTTCCCATATTTTCTCTCCATTTCAACTTTCTCTATCATGCAAATAGTTCTAATGGTCCCTGTCATAGCAAACATCCCTTAAAGAAACAAAACAAAAAATAAAAAAACCTAATGTAATCATGTCAAGAACCCAGAACACATAAAATTGGTTAAAAACCTCCCTAATCCCTCTTGTATCTAGTTCCAACTTCCCATTTTGATTTTCAGATTCCTGTATGATCTGGCCCTTAATCTACCAATTTGATCTTATCTGTTCCTACTCCATGATACACACCATAAACTCTAGTCTAACGTAACTTCCTTCACTATGGCTTCCTATTACCTACCACATAAAGCCCAAACTCCTCTGCTTAGCTTTCCAGGTTCCATCAGGCTTTAATTTTCAGGATTATCCAATATATACCTCTCCTTCAGTGTTGGTTTTCACATTGGTACTTGAACATATCAGTCTCAATGCAAATTCTGTGCCTGTAACTTCCTCTGCCCATGGAAACAGGCAAGCCATATTTTTCTTCTATAGGCTTACATATCATTCATTAAATGACTACGCAAAGAACAGGTACTCATTAAAAACATGACTGATTAACATACTCTCAAAGAGAAACATTAAACAAAATTTTACTTTCTACTGAAAAACCTTAGAATTTCTTAGTAGAGATTTAAAAATAAGATTGTATTAAGAATAAAAATATTCTAGTTATATGTCAATTTTTGGTAATCTTGTTACAATATCTTTGTAATATGCTTGCCATCATCTAATATCTCATCAATCCAAGATAACACTCAGGTTACACAAAAAAGCACTTTTATCTATGCACCCCCACTTCACAACTGTTTCTTCCTTTATCTGTATCTAAATAGTAGGCTAAGAGCCACAAAAACCAAGCTGCCCATTACTCACCTATATCAACCCCAGTCCCTCATGTGTGACTGATTATGATGCTTCCCTTTGGCAATGCAGCCTTGCCAAATTTGGGCCAATAAAAAATTTTTAGAAAGTAAGCATTAAAAGCTAACTCAAGGAAATGTAAACCAAGCTTTAACTCTACACCAAAGTACAAGGACCACCAGCTTAACAAAATGGGGTGGGGGAGATGTTAGAAAATAGAAGAAAAAGGCATAGCATGAAGCAAAGTAAGTACAGCATTATATTGAAATATAATACAATTTATGACTAGAATTATCAAATTATAAAACTCTGTAATAGTCCAGTGAGCATGTTTCTGTATCTCAGGTGATACCCATGTTACACTGAAGAAAGCAGTACAACTCATTTTTTATAAAGGACTTCCTCTATGCTTTCATAGAATTCAGTCTATAGTTCTCATGTTACAACAGGATGTATACAAGTTTAGCATTCTTTAGGGCAGAGAATGTACCTCATGTACGTCCCTATGTATCACAGCACCCCACCCAGCATCTGATTCATAGTGTATCAGAGTACCCATTTACATATATAGTCTTACTTATAAAGAGTCAAGATGGATTGGGTGCAAATAACTGTGAATCACATTTGGATCATGGGCTATGACCCTGATGCATTCCAGGGATTCTTATTTAAAAATAAGGTATCTATAAAAGTTTGAGTTGGCATGGCTCAGTGGTTGGGCATCAACCTACGATCCAGGAGATCGTGGTTCCATTCCTGGTCAGGGCACATGCCCAGGTTGCGGGCTCCATCCCCAGCAGGGGGAGTGCAGGAGGCAGTCGATCAATGACTCTCACCATTGATGTTTCTATCTCTCCCCCTCTACATTCCTCTTTCTGAAATCTATAAAAATATATTTATAAAAAAAAAAAAAAAAAAGTGAGTATTATGGTAGGTTCGCTTGAAGAACACAAATTTTACTATTATTTACTACTTACTATTGACCCAGATTTTACTATTCAGATTTTTTTCAGTGTCTGCAATCAATTTTATTTAATATCTAAACACATACACTTCTCAGTCTCTCTACCTTTCTCACCCAGTCCTCCAAGTCCCGTTCCCCTAGTTACCATCAGTCTGTTCTCTATATCTGTGAGCCTGCTTCCGTTTTGTTTGTTCATTGTTCTTTAGATTCCACATATAAGTGAAATCATATGGTATTTGTCTTTCTGTGACTGGCTTATTTTATTTAGCATAATATCCTATAGGTCCATCCATTCTGTCACAAATAGTAAGATTCCATTCTTTTTTATGGCCAAGTAATATTCCTTTGTATATATGTACCATAGCCTTTTTTATCTCAGATTCTTAAGTCACCCTAACAATCTTGGTCTCTTGGGTAATGTTTTCTTCTTCCAACCACAGTTTACATTCAATACCATTCTGCATCAGTTTCAGATGTACAGCAAAGTGGCCAGAAAACCATGCACTCTGCAAAGTGGTCCCCCCACTGCCCCAAGTATCCATCTGACCCCATACCCAGTTATCTCAACATTACTGACTTACTGTCTTGGGTAAAGTTTTATGTTGTTTTGCTCAAAGATAAGCAAATTAATAAATGAATTAAAAAGTATATATTCCCTGGCTGGGTGGCTCAGTTAATTGGAGTGTTGTCCTGTGCACCAAAAGGTTGCAGGTTCAATTCCTCGTCAGAGCACATACCTAGGTTGGGGGTTTGGTCCCCGGTCAGGGCGCATAATAAAGGCAATCAATTGATGTTTCTCTCTCTTCCCCTTCCTTTCTCTCTAAAAAAAAAATCAGTAAGAAAACATATCCTCAGGTGAGGATTAAACACTTGCTCCCTGCCTGGACACTGTACTAAAGAGATTAAGACAATCAGCGCTGGCTGGGGGGTTCAGTTGACTGGAGTGCTGTCCCATACACCAAGAGGCTGCAGGTTTGATCCCCAGTCAGGGCACATACTTAGATTGCAGGTTTTGGTTTTTTTTTAACCTCGCCCAAGGATATTTTTTCCATTGCTTTTCAGAGGGAGTGGAAGGGAGGAGGAGAGACAGAGAGAGAGAAACATCAATGTGAGAGAGAGGTGAGAGACAGACACCAATTGGTTGCCTCCCGCATGAGCCTCGACTGAGGGTGGGGATCGAGCTCACAACTGAGGCACTCGAAACCCTTCAGTCCATGGGCCGGAGCTCTAACCACTCAGCCAAGCCGGCTAGGGCAAGGTTGCAGGTTTGATCCCTGGTCAGGGCACACAATGCCCTGACCAATGTTTCTCTCTTATATAGATGCTTCTCTCTCTCTCTCTCTCTCTCTCTCAAAATCAACAAAAACATATCCTCAGGTGAGGATAAAAAAAAAGATTAAGAGAATCAAAATCAAGTTTTGCCATTGTCAAGGTTCTTTGTAATCCTCTCAGTCAAGATAGTGAGTTTGCCTCTGAAGGATCCAATCATCTGCATAAAATATGCATGATTCTTCAACCAATCCTCAAGAAAACTCACAAAAAAAACATATATATGATAGTTTTTTTATATACACATGTAAGTAAATATTTGACTCTATTAAGATATGAGTTAAATAACTGCAAAAAAGTCATGCTTTCCATTTAATTGCTTATTCCAAAAAGAAAAACTTGATCTTTTAATTTATTTATTATTATTATTTAATCTTCACCAAGGATATTTTTTCCAATGCTTTTCAGAGAGTGGAGGGGGGCGGAGAGAGAGAAACATTGATGTGAGAGAGTCACACTGATCGGTTCACTCCTGCATGAGCCCTGACTAGGGCCAGGGATCGAGCCTGCAACCGAAGTACATGCCCTTGGCCGGAATCAAACCCAGGACCCTTCAGTTCGTGGGCTGATGCTCTAACCACTGAGCCAAAGTGGCTGGGGCTGAAAAACTTGACCTTTTTAGAATATACTTTGGAAGCATGAAGTTACTTTCTAGGATATCATACAAAGGAAATAAGACCTTTACATAATAATATGTGTATAATAATGTTCATCACAGGATTATTGATAATGACCAAAAAAAATTGTAAGCAACCTAAAATATTCAACAATAAGAAAATGGCTAAATTGTGGTGCATCATATGAGGGGACACTGTTGTAGCCACTAAGCAGGGGTGGAGAGACATCAAAATATATTTAATGGAATGGAAAATATTATTATTATATAAAAAAAGATTAAAATTTATTATATTAGCTCTCAATTTTAATATATACTAAATATATACATATAAATATATATACCCACAACCGCAAACACATTTATACAAAAAATGAATAGAAAAAGGAATGAACAGAAATATATATACTTGAATTTCAACATATTTCTCTGGATGGTGAAAATTATAAGTTTTTTATTTTCTTTGTACCTTTCTATATTTTCCAAATTCCCCACAATGAGGGAAAAACTCTCATTTTTAAAAGTCTTCTATTCTTACAGCTAGATATTTTCGTGTATTTTTTAAAAAGTGTTCTTTTTCTGTTGGGGAATAGTGATAGTGTGGGGGTGGGGTAGATACAGACTCTAGAATCCAGCATCTGCTCATGGATGAAAGCACAAAACTGTCTAAATTCATCCAACCAGGCTTACCAGTTTACTATAAATAGACAATCTGGAACTGAAAACTACTAATAAATTAATCTATAATCCTAGTACTATGGAAAACAAGAACATTATAAAATAAGAGAACTGTCTTCAGAGAGGATATTGATATATAACCTTAGGTTCAGTTTAGAACAGCCAGAAATGAGAGTTCTAGAATAAAAGTGTGAAACAGTGAGGCAGAGGTCAAGACAAAATGAGCTCCATGCAATAAAGTTGTTTCAACTATGCGCCAAGTCTATCATCTAGTGCTGAAAAATTTAAGAACTCCTCTCATGTATACCCATACACTTGAAACAGCAACTTTGTATTTAAATAGAAAGGTAGATAAAATGTATACATGATAAAATCTATAAATATTATATCTGATCACCTCTTTGCATCTAGAAAAATGTGCTTGCTTTGCATTGCTCTAACCTGGTATACAAAGCCGCTAAATCATAAATAATGCCTGAAAACAGAGGTCTTGTAACCTCTAAACATTCCTTCAAGCTACTAACCATAAATTTATATATAAGAAAAACCCTTTATAGTCATAAAAAGCTACATTCCAATGAAAAACATGATCATTTTTTGAGAAATGTTTAATTGACTATATGTTCTATACCGTTTAAAGATATTGTCAGGTAATAAATAACTTGAGCTTTAACTGTGTTATTTAAAATATCCTGTTAAAATCTGGAGTATGATAATTCCTTTCCTACTGGTTTCACTCTCCCCAGTTTGGCAAATGTTAGATTTTCTCACTTATACTTAAAAGTAGAGCCAAAATTAACAGCTTTAAATATAGTACTTTATGCCAATACCATGCCCTGCTTTGTTTTTCACTCCCTGAGTTATCAGCAACATCGTATTACTGCCAGGAACTTCAATTCCTTCACTTTAAAATGTTAGGACAATTCACCTGGGGCATACAAAATATGGCTAGTCTACAAAAATGGTAGACAGTTAAAGTCCACAGGACTTGCCTGATCAAAGATTATTTACATCATTTTAATTAAAAAATAATAATCCTTGAAAACAAATGCCACGTTAACATTTCACTTCAGGATCCACAACCCAAATACTTCAGGAATTAATAAGCCAATAAAAACCAGGTAAGCTTCCAAAATACCAATAAATATTAGCCTTCACTATCTAAGTAAAATATTTTTAAAAAGTAAACAGTCCATATAAATGGTGAAAAGTAAATAAAGATATTCAAGCATTTTTATTTTTAATAAGCTAAAGTGACATTAGTAATTGAAATTATGAGTTATGGTTCCTCAAACACATTTAGATACTGTAAATAAATATTAGTTCTTCCAGTATGTAGCTTGGGTGGTCTTCAAAAGTCCGTTTCATCTCTATAACCTTAAATTTATGTATTAGTAAAGAAGGGATGATACCAACCTTCTCAAAGTTATGAGGTCTAAACAGATTAACAAATGGAAGACTATTTTATAATGAAAAATCTCTGCAAATGTAAGCCATAATCTTTCCATTCTGATTAAAAGCAACATTTATGTTCTTTCTATTTTAACACTATCAAAAGCTTAATATGTGAAAGTTTAATACTAGAACTAAAAAACTATAATTGCTAAACATCAGGACTAAAAAAAAAAGCTCTAGATTTCTAATCAGAAAACTAAGACCAAACAGAATCCTTCAATAGTTGAAATATATTTTTTCCTCTTACCAATCACCTATACCTTTTACATGTTTCAGATATACCTACCAGAAACTATATTACTGCTAATTATCTTGCCCCCCAAGGTAGCTAATGATTTGGGTACTACTGTAATGATGCTGCCACTGGTAGTTTTCACATAGGTTGCAGCTCCAGGGGTTGCAGCCATCCGACCTATGGATGGGCTCACTGTTGGCCGGGTATAGGTTGCTTGTGTGCCTGTAAAAAGAGAAAAGCCAAAAGGAAAACTACTGTAATATAGAAAACTATAAGTAATGACTTACTTACAGAAGAATGACAATTTATACAGTTTAACTATAATTCAATATAATCTACATTGCTTTAACTTGAATATGGAATTTCAAGGTGTCAAGATTTAAGTAACAATTTATAGCCAGTTTTTTCACATAGCAAGAACTATAGCCAAGTCAATTTGAATCAATTTTACACATAAAATACTGTGATGTGTTGCATCAAATTACTAACCCCAAGAAAAAGTTAACTAACTCTGTTCCCTTCTTCCACTACCCTTCTTCCATTAGTTTTAGGCTAAAAGAAACTTAAATTTAATCATCTTTCCTGCCAGAGCATTTTAGCTATTTCTGTTACAGATTTTAAGATCTCTGCATCTGTTTTATGCTGTCTCAGTGCCAAACCCAATGTCAGCACTCAGCAAATAAGGCAGTATTGTTTGCCTAAAATGTTATAAACTTTTACTGTTTTGTACTCTGCTACCCTGTAAATATATTTCCACCTTTTAAAGAGTTATGCCATCATTTTACTAGAGATTAAAGTTGATGCCAAGAGTTGCCAGGAATATTTCTTTTTAGCCTAGAAAGTTCACTATTTCCATATTTTCTCAACTCTAACTGACCTATTAAGGTATTTTTCTTCATGTCTCTCAAAGGATTTTACACTCTTCCCCACTATTTCTAGGACTTTTTTCTTTTCCTAAAGAGGAATTAAAAACTAACCAAATAAGCCTGTTATAGTTTCCTATAAATCCAGTAACTCAGAAATACTGTTCCTAAACTTGGGGAAAATGAAAATGACTAAAATAACACCTTCTCCAACTGTGAAAGATTTTTCATGATAATTAGATTCAGAGGTCACTGTGATAACCACTTTCAATAATTCCTTCCTCCAAAAATGCTTTTAGCAAGTTATTCACCATTTACAAATACAATCCCTATCCAAAAGAGGGAGGAAGGGAGGAATATTAAGTAGAATTAGTTTAAATTGGTTATAAGCATACATCTGAATCAGAAAAAAAAAAATCTAGTGTAAAGTAAATGTTATATAGATACACAGTTTGAATCAGTTAAATTATAACAGAAAAAAAATTTCAGCTTAAGCTTTTGTTTTTTAAAAAAGAAACACTTGCCCAGCCGGGCGTGGCTCAGCAGTTGAGCATCGACCTAGGATCCAGGCGATCGGGGTTCAATTCCCGGTCAGGGCACATGCCCGGGTTGCAGACTTGATCAATGACTCTCTCTTCATTGATGTTTCTATCTCTCTCTCTCCCTCTCCTTTCCTCTCTCTGAAATCAATAAAGATATATTAAAAAAGAAAAAAAAGAAACACTTATTCTAATATAAATACATAAGCATAGACATTATTTTTTTGCTACCTTTCCCTAACGGGAGGGACAATATACATTAATATCTTTGTACCAAGTGGTGAAAAGTTTTGGGGGAAGTATGATAGATTTAATACAAGAATAACAGTATTTCTAAAGCACAAGTTTTGCAGAGAGACAAAAAGTAGAATGGTGGTTGCCAAGCCCTGGGAGAAGGTAAGACTAGAGAGTTACTATTTAATGCATACAGTTTCAGTTTGGGAAGAGGAAAAAGTTCAGGAGCTAGACAGTGGTAATGGTGGAAAAATAACATGAATGTACTTAATACTAATGAACTGTACACTTAAAATGGTGAAAACAGTAAATTTCATGCCATAAAAAAAATTGTGGTAAAAATATATATAAGTACTGGGTTTGGAGTCAAACAGATCTGGGCCCAAATCCCAGTTCTGTCTTTTACTAACTACGTGAACTTGGGCAAGTTTAATGTAAATCTCTGTTTTCTTGCTAAAAATGGAGATAATAGAGCCTAAGGGAGATTAAGTGCAATGTTTGTACAGACCTTTCTTTACACACTGGCCAACAGCTGTTAGCTTATAAACTTCAGACAGAAATCATTTTATACTAGTTTCTATCATCTAAATACTGGTCATCCTCAAATAATTGGTAAGAGTCATGTAAATTTAAGATAACAGCAATGGCTAATTCTAATATTAATTAATAGTAATAGCTATTAAGCACTCTGCTGGACACTTTACATACTTGATTTCATTTAAAACTTACAATAACCTTATGGCAAAGGTATTATTATCCCATTTAAATAGAAAAGGGAAAAGATTGAGAGTGGTACTATTTTAAATGTTCTACACTATCACTTCCTTGGGCATAGCCTGGTTGCCCTCATATCTAGGCAAAATGTCATCCTGTGCCTCCCTTAGGCTGAGTAATGCTTACTAAACTGTAACGTAATACAGACTCTCAACCTCATCAAAGTGAGATCCTTGTAGACTGGGACTGTGTTTTCATTCACTCAAAAAATCCTTACTAAACCCTTATTTATAAACCAGCTCTATCACATACATATATAGTGAATAAAACAGACATGGTCCCTTATACTTATGGGAGCTTATGGGCTAATATGGTGAACATCACTAAACAAATCAACAAACAGCAGCTAAGCAAATCGAAACTGTAGTACATGCTATGAAGGAAAAGAACAGTAAGAGAAACAACAATAAGAGAAAGAACTATTTTTAGTTGGAAGGAAATGTGAAGTCAAGAAGGCTTCTTTGAAGAACTGTCTCAATAATCTCTGTAATTCTAGTGTCAACATATTGCCGGTACAGAGAAACTACTCAATGAATATATGACAAACTGATGCTCAAGAAAACTTACCAGTAGGTGTGGTTACCAGTTTAGTTGTCATTATTGCACCATTACTGCTAACCACCATAATAGGGGAATTGCTACTGGTGGGCAGAGTTGCTGTCACTGGTTTAGGTAAGATTTTACTTGGTTGAACTTGTTGTGTGATGATTTTAACACCTTTGAAAGAAGAAAGATAAAAATTAGTAAAAATTCTTTTAATAACATGTGCCTTATACCAACCCAAGAGGGCAGCAGTTATACACATTTACTCTGCCTTGCCTAAAGAGAAGCTTTCTTCATGTGGATAAAAATTCTTCACCAACTTTTATTTCTCAAATTCCCCTTTCCTAATTTCTCTCATCCAAGACAACAATGAAAACATAGAAACTATTAAATTCTTAAAGAAAAACAAATTTTTTATTTTGTCTATGATCACGCTATATAAGAGCTTTCAAAACAAAGAGCCATTGACTTGAACTTTTACAGACAAATAATCTGTTTCATGCATATGGGGGTGAAAGAGTAATATAAGAAGCCAAGAACACATGTTAATGTAGCTTTCATATATTCCCAACTGCACCAAACAGTTCTCTAACCTCTTAAATTATAAAGGACGTTGAAAACTATAAAGCAGCAAGAACATTTTCTTTTTGAAACTTTATTTTTAAATTGACAGCTTTTAAAAGAATTTTTAATAGCTCACTTTGTCAAATACATAATAAAGGATACATTATTATTGCGTGGACAAGAATATAAAGGCAATATGTAAAAATAAAATAAAACTATTAGGGAGGGTGAGGTTATGGGTTTTTTTACATTTTTCAAAAACTTTATTTAAATGTTACAATTGTTAACACTGCCTTTCTGAATGTAAAATGTTCATTTAAAAGAAATATTTTATGCCAACTACAACTTAAAGTACTAATAACTGTTAACTGAGCGAAAAAAATTTTGGTAACACTTTCCCCCCCCATTAACTTCACTGAAATAATTCTGGAATTGAATGTATTGCACTAGGATCTTATTTTCATGGAACTGAATGTATTACTATAGACAACTAAAACTTTTATTAAATTTTTGGATGGTGATTAGGTTGAGACATTAGGAAGCAAACAAATAGCCTTAAATAATTTTAAATTTCTTATAGCCAACAAAAAAGTTAAAATTATGACATCTAACCATAATTAGGCAAATTTTAACCTCTATGACTCAGTTTGCTCATCCAAAATAAAAATACCGCCCTGGCTGTTGTGGCTCAGTTGGTTGGTCATTATCTGTTGCACTGAAAGGGTGCCAGATTAATCCCTAGTATGGGGCATGCAGGACGCAGCTGATCAATGTTCCACTCTCACATCATTGTTTCGCTCTCCCCCTCCTGTCCCTTCCTCTCTAAAAATCGATAAATTATTCTTAAAACGAATAAATAAATAAAGATAATACTAATATATACCTTCTAGGGCTATTGTGAAGATTAAATAAATCAAAATTGTGAAGTGCCTAGTATATAACAAGAATTCAATAAATACAGTGCTGTTACAAACAAAATAAAGAAATCCTGATTATAATAAATCATAAACAGTGAAGTTGTAGAGGAAAATTATTTCTAGTATTATCTCATTGGTGAATTACAATAATGCTTAAGGCACATAAGAAGAAGTCCTTAAAGAAATAACCACAGAGAAAAATTTAAGAAAATCACAAGAGTCTATGCTTAGTCCTACAAATAAGTTGAAAATTTGGATAATTTTCTATGAAAGTATTAGTTATCAAAATTGACCTCAGAAAAGAGATATGTCTAAATACACATATTTCCTTAAAATAAAATTTTAAGAACACCTCCCCCTTCACCAAAAAAAAGCAGGCCCAGATAGTTTCACAGGATAATTCTACAGTCCTCTGAAAAGGTAATTACAATGTATTTAAAACCACTCCTCTTAACAGTTCTCATCACACACACACACAAATTGTAACTGTGTGGTGACGGGTGTTAACTGATGTTAATTAAACCTATGTCAAATCATTGTTGTACACCTAAAACTAAAACAATATTATGCGTCAATTTTATCTCAATTAAAAACAAAGAAAAACCATTCCAGAGATGAATTTCTGGAAAGAGAGCATGATGATAACTAGTAAAAATAACAGAACCAATGAAAAGCTCTGGAAATGGTCCCAAAGACAAATGAGAAAACATCTATTCAAGAAAATGTAGAAAAATTCAGTAAGAAAGGTCAGATCTGCGGTATTGAAACAAAGACCTGTTCCTCTTTCCCCTGCTTCAAGGGAGGCAGACTCCTCTCCAGATGACTGCAGTCAAGAACACAGGGTTTCCTCTTCCTCCAGCTCCCAGTTGGAGGGCTCTCTTCTGAGGAGCAACAGGACTTCAGTTTATCTCATCATGCCACCAGGTACCTATTGCTAAGACTAATTCTTGGCCAAGAGCAGTCAAGAGGTGGATGCTCCCTTCTTCTGCTCAGCCCCCAATTTATGGATCAAAGGCTCTACCTTGGGCATGGTGGCTCTGAGAATACTAGGGTCATGAACACCACTGCCATGGCTTTTGAGGCAGTGGCTTCACTGCCAGGAAAAAGAAGCTGAGAGAATCTCAGGCTGCTACTCACTCTTCCAACCCTGCCTTCACTGAGTAGTCAGCTCCAACGTGTCTGTCATTCAGAGAAGCATACCACTGACCCTACCACCCAGAGCTACAGAGCTGTCTGCAGGTAGAAATAGGTCATAAAATAGGTAGTTCTTAATTTCTTCCCAAAGGAATTGACTTCATTTGTAACAGAGAATGGAGAAATTCAAGCCTAAGGGTGGTCTCAAGAACAGTGGAGGATGTGATAAAAAGCAACTGGAAGGAGTCTATGTTCTAGACTATAGGCCAGATAGTTTGCAGGAGAAAACTGAGGAATAAGGAAGCTGAAAGGAAACCTCCTCTGGTCAAGTATCAAAAATAGACCTCTGAAACTATTCCTTCAAAGAAACCATCATTTGTATTAGTTTGTAGAGAACTAATGTTATGTTATGTTTCAGGGCATTGTTGAAACCAATAGAGCAGTAAGTAGAGTTGAACAGCTGAGTGTGGTCATGGAAAGAAAGGAAGAGAGCAATACCAAATACCACTGTCATCTCAGAATGACTGTGGGCATACCCAAAGCTGTAACTCCCTGAGGAACATCAGAGGCTTAACTTGACTAAAATAATTGATCTAGTCACTAAACAACAAATAACCAAGAAAATAAAAATAATACATCAGGAGTGGGTAGATAGGGGAAGACTAGTACCCAACTATATCTAATATCTAAAATAGCAATATAAACATCTAAAATGTCTAGTTTCCAACAAAAACCATTAGGAGGTATGCAAAGTAACAGAAATATATGACCCAACACTAGGAAAAAAAGCTGGCAACAGAAACTGCCTATGACAATGATCAGATGTCAGGTTTAACAAAAAATCAAAGTAGTCATTATATGTTCACAAAACTAAAGGAAAGCATGATTACAGGAGTAAAAGAGAATATAACGACAAAGTGGCATCAAATAGAGAACATTAATAAAATGACAGAAATTATAAAACATCAACAACAAAAAACAAATGAAAAGCATTGGCTGGGTGGCTCAGTTGGTTGGAGCATCATTGTCCCATACACCAAAAGGTTGCAGGTTCGATTTCCAATCAGGGCACAAACCTAGGGTGCAGATTCAATCCCCAGTCGGGAAGCATACAGGAGGCAACCAATCCATGTTTCTATCTCACATCAATGTCTCTCTCTCTTTTCCTCTGTCTCTAAAATCAATCAAAACATATCATTGGGTCAGGATTTAAAATAATAATAAAAAAGAATCAAATGAAAAATCTTTAACTGAAATAAAAAATTCATTAGATGCCCAGCTGGCATGGCTCAGTGGTTGAGCATTGACTTATGATTCAGGAGATTGAGGTTCAATTCCTGGTCGAGGCACCATGCCTGGGTCGCAGGCTCGATCCCTGGTGGGAGAAATGCAGGAGGCGACCGATCAATGACTATCATCATTGATGTTTCTATTTCTCTCCCTCCCTCTCTCTGAAATCAAAACAATATATATATTTTAAAAATTCATTAGAGAGGCTCACGAATAGATTTGTATTGGCAGAAAAAATAATTAGCAAATTTGAAAATAGATTAGCAGAGATTATGCAAGCTGAAGTACAGAAAGGAAAAAAATAAAGAAAAATGAGCAGAGCCTCAGAAAAATGTGAAGCATCATTAAGTGCACCAACATTATATAATGAAACTACCAAAAAGAAACAAAAAGAAAAAAAGAAATAATGGCTGAAAATGTCCCAAATTTATTCAAAAATAACTTACACATCTGGGAAGCTCAGTAAACTCCAAATAGGATAAATACAAAAAGATTCACAAACAGACACATCATTCTAAAAATGCTGAAGATCAAAGACAAAGAAAAAAATCTTGAAAGCAGCATGAGAAAAACAACTTGCCACTTACAAGGGAACGACATGAGGGTTAACAACTGATTTCTCCACAAAAACAGCGGAGGCCAGCAAGCAGTACGATAATGCATTCAAAGTTCTCGAAGAAAAAAAACTTTCAATCAAGAATCAAATATCCAGCAAATAAAGTTTACCAGATAAACAAAATCAGACAGAATCAGTTATAAGCAGACAGCCTTACAACAGACACTAACAGAAAACAGGAAACAAAACAATGACATCCACTCTTGCCAATAATATTCAACATTTTACTAGAGGTTCTAGTCAGGGAAATTAGGCAAGAAAATAACTACAAGACATCCAGATTGCAACAGAAGAAATTATCTCTATTTGCACATAACATGATCTTTTATATTAAAAAATCCTAAGGAATTTACTAAAGATTATTGAAACTAAAAAATGACTTCAACAAAATTGCAGGGTACAAAATCAACACACAAAACCAGTTGCATTTCTATATTATTAGCCAAAGACAATCCAAAAAATGAAATTAATAATTCCGTTTACAATAGTTTCAAAAAGAATGAAACGCTTACAAATATATTTAACAAAAGAAGTGCAAAATTTATACTCTGAAAACCACACGACGCTATTGAAAGAAATGAAAGAAAATCTAAATAAATGGAAAAACATCCAATGGTCATGGATCAGAAGATTTAACATTGTTAAGATGTTAA